AATAAAACCCAGAACTTGATCAGATTATTATGGGACTGGTTAGTTCATGTGTGTGTTAGTATTCAATATACAGTTGTCAGTCTCAGAGATATGCGCAGAGTGGAGTCCTTTTTTCTAAGACTAGTTAAGGGCAGGTAGCAACGGGCACTCTGAAAGCAGTGTTTTCCTGCTTGTTTGGTTATGTGCAAGCATTTCTTGACTAATTCACAGTTAACGAAGGAAAGGCTGATGCCATCCTGTCATCTTGTACACATGATGGTACGTGTCCAAATTATATTCTTGAATTAAAAAAAAATTATAGTATTACATATTTCTACTACAAAACTGCGTATTTTCCAGCACATTCGAAAAAGTTATTTGTACTTTTTTATTATTATTATTGTAAGCTGGAAGTTTACATGCAAAACTGCAGTTTTTTGAAACAAAGGAGGAACATGAGAGAACTCTTAAAATAGTGAGGCTTGAGAGCAATAACATTAAGGAAAGTAGCATCTTTTTTTTTTTTTTTTTTTTTTAATTTGTATTTAATCTTTCTCTAGAGGTACCATTTCCAGTAAAGGTCATTAGCACCCTGATACAAAGTTTCATTTCAGCTTCCTCCATCTGTTCATGTGGATCCTGTAATTCAAACATAACCACTTGAAATTTCCTGTGGCCTCAATGGAGTTTTCACCAATGGGATAAAGAGGAGAGCCCAGCCTGACTAGAAGGACCTCGTGTGGCCCTTATTCCTGGCCAGTCATGTCTGAAACTGTGTCCTGGAGCTCCATTTTGTGGGTAGCTGGTCAAAGTCCCTGAGCAGCGCTCTCTGTGCCAGTAACCAGAACTGCGGCATGCTGTTTGGGGTCAACTGTTGGACAGCAGCTGCTGAGCCCTCAGAAAAAACATTTGTCTTGGACTTCTCAGCTCAGACCTCATTCTGGCACTTGGCCTACTTAGACCCATTTCAGCCTCTGTGGTTGTCTAATTTCCAGGTTCAACAAGGACGCTATGTCACCACTTCCCTACAGACTAAGATATTAATGGTGAGGCATGAAACAGAAGAGCTTTTGCTGAGTTGTGTCCATGATGCTGGCGCAGCAGTGTTAGGTACTACAGCGAGGCGGCAGCGCTGATGCACAAACCCAACGGGATTGCAAGAGGTAAAAGAGCCAGCAGGCACAGGAGCAGCACTAACAGTCTCATAAGTACACAGGTTGTGGTGGTGGTGGTCCCCGAGGCCTGTCCAGAAGAAGTGTTTGCAAGCATTACTGTTTCGTAGTGTACAAATAGCACTGGGGATAGGTCGAAGGCTAGAGCAAGTATAGCCCTTGATCTTCAGCTTGATAAATAGATAAGAGCTCTGTTCTCTTCCTCCTTGTGTTTAACCAAGCCTTTCCAGTATCTGTCAGTTTATGGTGTTCCTGGTGGTTGTTAATAGCTCTGGTGACAGCTTCCAGTTTCTCTGCGTTGTTAGAAGAGCTCTCCTGGAAATCACAGGTGAATTGGCAGGTCTGAAGGGCTGACAGCTTGTCAAAACATGGCTGCTAGGTGCAGTCATCTAAGCTCTCATTCTTTCAATACTAGTATAGAATATAGGATTGACAGCCCCGAGACTGAAACTTTTTTCACAGCTCAGATAAAGCACACTGTGTGACAGAACATGCTCCTCCGATGTACAGAAGTGTCTCTTGTTACCTATGGAGAGAGGGAAGTGGGGACTTGGGTTTTATAGCCATCCCTTTTGAGTGAAAACGTTATGTGGTTGGGCATTGATATGTTAAAATACCAACAACCACCCATCTTTTCCAACTGCAGGGAACTGAATAACCCTTTCCCTGTAGACTGGGAACTGCAGCAGGCGGCTGTTGCTTTCTCCCTGCTCCAGTAACTCTCACACAAGCTGCAAGCGACTAGGTCCAACCTTTTTCCCTTTGCAAAATCCTACTTACACAACTGCCTGAGAGAGTGCTTCATCCTTGGCCTGAGTTACCAGGAAGGCAGCTGAGCTTCCATCTCTGATATTTGGCCTTCCCCGTGGAATTGATAAAAATATGAGTCAGCGCTGGGTGCAGTGGCAGTTTTGGTAATACAGGATCTGCTCTCAGTGGAGCTCAAGCTGATGCTACTGAACCTCTCATGGGTGTCTCCTAATTCCTCCTTGCTGACATCAAACTGGACAGAAACTGAACAGCATAAAAATTCCATCTTCAGTCGCTCTTTCCTCCCAGACAAACCCATCTCTGTACACAACAAGGAGTTGATGGAAAGAAGCTCTAGTAGCTCTGGAAAACTTTTTCCTCTTCCCAATCCCAACACCCACTATTTTGCAGCAAGAGAGCAGAAGTTAGTTATTTCCAACAGGACCTTTAAAGTATATTGACACCAACTGCCTGTTGAGCGCCTGTTCTTTAAATCCTGCTTCGTGACAGTTCACTTTAGAATAATTACTGTAGGGCAGCATTATTCCTCCAGTAAGTCCTCTTTGGTTTCCTTGCCTGTGACAGCCATGCAGATGGATGGCAGCCCAGGAACAGAACTGCTGTCGCCTGCATCCCACCCCAGTGGTGGCTCCTTCCTGAAAACAGGAAATTACTTTAAGCATATTATTGTCCTTGAAAAGAAAGTATACAGTTTTGGCATCCATTTGATACAATTGTTAAAGTCTCCCTCTCTTGCCTCCCATCTGTCAGGGAGGACAACGTTTCACTTCTTTTCCTCCCTGTAATGTGTATTTTAAAAGGGGGGGGGGCGGGACACAGGTGGGCAGGAGGTTTGTACTGTTCTCTCTTCACGTGGAGTGGGTAAGGAAGCCTGGTCCTGAAAAAGGTGCGAAAATGAGTTATTGAGAAAGAATCAGGAGAGGAGTGCTCTTACAAGAAGGGCTAAAATAATGGAGTGTTTTCCCTCTTAAATGCGAACACCTTTCCAAAATAATAGGAAGGAGAACGTCAGAAATCCAGCCAGGCCAGAAAGCTGGGGTGGGAGAATTAAAAACCAGATGACTTGTTCTGCCTGTGCACATTGGAGAAGTGGGAGATGTAAGAATGTGTGTAAGTGTGAGCAGCGTACATGTCACTGACGACTTTGGTGTGGCAGGGAGGGAAGGCCAGGCCTGAGGAGGGCTGACCTTGCACCCTTTGTCCCTTCTGCTGTGGTGGCCCTTTCAAAACAGAAACTGAAAGAGATTTCTTTCTTCTGGCAGACAAGCAATTACATGGAAGCTAGTACTGCTGTTTCATCAGGGGTAAACAGACGCTTTCTGCAGTTTGAAATCAGCCACTTTGTCTCCTTTATCTTCCCCAACGCCCCCCGCTACCAGGGATGTTCTTAGAGATAGTCTTATCTACCCACAAAGCTGTTTGGATCAAGAACTGTACTGGATTGTTTAAAGGCTGGTGGAAAGATTGTCCTGCCAAGAAAGACTGCTCCTGCTTGTAAGTTTAGCAGCAGCCGTGGTGTTGGCGCAGCTGGAATCAAAATTGCTGCAGCTGCTGGTGGCTGAAGTTGGGTCTCTCCCCAGGTAACCTTTGGTGCCTGGCTGATCTCGTCACCGAGGGTGTCCTCTCCACCCACCCCCAAATCTTTCTTACAAATGCTTTCGGAATAAAATGTTTTGAGGACACGTACCTGGGTTGTTCAACATTTTAGCTGACCGTTTCCAGACTTCTTGCTAGGGCTGTTTGGAAATACTGTGCAGGATTAACACCTATGGTTACTGGTGATGACCAGAGCCAGGGAGATGATGGCTGCGGCTATGTGTGTTCTGCCCAGTCCCTTGGCATCGTCCCAAACATACCGATTTTAGTATGTCCAGAGATTTCACAGGTCTGTTTTTCACTAGATGGAAATCATGACTTTTCCTCAGTTAAGTGGTTTGAATAGTAGCTACTGTGTCATTCTGTCCAGTTCCTCATTCCACATCTTAAATTTATGTCAAAATTTAATCATTTGCCTGCTGCAGCCTCTCAAGACTAGCTAGCATGATTTTGACTTGAGGCACAATTCTGCAGCTGATTATTTCCACCCTCGCTTCTATAACTTTGTGAACACCATGTATCTATAAATGGTTTCGTATGTGCTCTTTCACTGGAGATGAAGTTAACTGTGTGTCCAGGAGCCCTTTAGCTTGCTCCCAGTTTTCTTAGCTGGCTGTTAAGTGTCTGTATGTGGTTAACTAACTAGGATACAGTGGAGGGTAAATACTCAGCACTTCTGAAAACTACGTGCACTAGAATATGTTACGCTGTGCTTTAAAAAACCCCACAAACTGTAAACAGAAATCACATTTTAATATTTACTTCATGACAGTTAATAAAGACATTATTAAAATTCTGCATCTTTTTATGCAGGTGGAGTGTTCAGGATCATACATTTCTCTTCCAGTCCCCCTGTGCCCTGCATTATTTATCATCTTTTAACTGAGACAAGTATTCTGTTGTATGGATTTGGGCAAGAAGACCTTGTTGGAAATGTTCTTGAACATTATGAAACACAATTGTGCACAGCAATAATTTGGTTTTGCTGTTAACTGGATGTTGTGTCTTGCACTGGAAGGTTGGTGGGGACACAAGCAGAGATACAGTGTTTTATCAACTTTTATTTCTCTTGCACTGAAGTGCAAGGAGGGACCCTTCTATATGACTTCATTTATCTGAGGGCTGTAGTGAGATTGGGTGGTCCTGGCTCATTGACGCAGTTGAAAAAAAACTGCCTCCTATTCTGCACAAAAAGCCTGAAGCACCTGTGGCAAAGAGGCTGCATCTTAAAATGCACAGGGAAAACTGTAGTACGGTTCCATGGAATTAAGCAGGGTGTGAAACTTAATAACTGGCCGGTTTTGACCATAAAGGCAAGTCAGGGGTTTTTCTTGTGCCACTGTCCCTGTGGGGAAAAATGGAATAATAATTATCAGTTGAGTTCAAAGTTAATATTTATACATCAAGTTGATAGGATAACTATTCAAACATTTAGCACTCGCTTGTTTTCATTACAGGAATTGCAAAGCTCAGGAAGAGGACGCTTTCTACTGGAACATGCTGCTCCCTTCTCTGCTTTTTTGACAGACAGCTTTGGGCGTCAGCACAACTACTTGCGAATTTCTTTGACTGAGAAATGCAACCTCAGGTGTAAGTGTCTGCTTGCTTTCTTGCACAAAGCTCTTGTGCAGCAAAGGCCAAGAATGGAGTTAGGGTACTTAGTGCTGTGCCGGCCCTGTGCTGTTTCTTGTCTTCACAAAGTAATGGTAAAGGATAGATAGAGACTGATTTGGGGCTGAGCTGCTAGTGGGTTGGGGAAGCAGGAGCAAGCCAAGGGATCTGCTAGAGACAGGTGGGAGTGACCAGTCTTTCATCAGGTTTGGTGTGGCTTGGATGGTGGTGCTTCTGCATGTTTGTATGTTATACCCAAAGTGTGTGATAAGCATGAGAACTCGTACCTAGGCATTCCCACAATTGTGTCTGCAAAGCTCATGGCTGTCATGGCTTAACCCTAGACAGCTTAAACCAAGCAACACACAGCTGCTGGCTCAATCTGACCAACTTCTCCCCCATTTATATGCTGAGCATGATGTCATATGGCATGGAATATCTCTTTGGCCAGTTTGGGTCAGCTGTCCTGGCTGTGTCCCCTCCCAGCTTCTTGTGCCCCTCCAGCCTTATCGCTGGCAAGGTATAAGAAGCCAAAAAGTCCCTGAGTTAGTGTAAGCACTACTTAACAACAACTAAAACATCAGTGTGTTATCAACATTATTCTCATCCTAAATCCAAAACAGCGCTATACTGGCTACTTGGAAGAAAATTAACTCTATCCTAGCTGAAACTGGGACAGTGGCAATGTCTCAGTGCTTGCCAGTTCAGTTTGGTGTCTCTGTTTGAATGCAGATTACATAGAAATAAGATCAACTTTCCCTTCAAAGTGGATCCGTTGTAATTTTGAGACGCATCAAGTGAGTCTTGGGTTTTCTTCTGAAGGAAAACAGGAAATTGTTAGGAGACTGCCTCAGGGATTAGATGTGTGATCTTACCTGTACTTCAGAAAAGCAGAGTTGTTTGACATCCATTAAAAACAGTTGCACTTAGTGCATTTTGCCATCAATATTAGATTAACTGCTGCTGATTATTTTTTCACCATGTATTTCTGTATTCTTTTTTTCAGGTCAGTATTGTATGCCAGAGGAAGGTGTTCAGCTGACCCCTAAATCAGAGCTCCTCACTACTCAGGAGATAATCACCCTAGCCAGACTGTTTGTAAAAGAAGGTGTGGAGAAAATCCGACTGACTGGAGGAGAGCCACTTATCCGACCCGATGTAGTTGATATTGTGGGTGAGTTCTCAATAAATACAGTGTGTTTCAAAGTCACTTGCTATATATTGATCCAAGAACTACGCTTATAACTATCTACTAATACAGTCCAGCAACCTGAAGAATAATTATAGATTAAATGATGATGCTTTTTCCCCAACATTGTGAAATACAAGATAGTTCCTTTCAGAAAACTTTCAGTTCTGCTTTCCTGCTTGGCTGGAACTTAGGTCTTTTCATATTATAACAGCTGAACTTATCATTGTCTTCATATGCAACATCTACTAGAATAGCTTGCAATAATGCAGCCTTGGGGTGAAAAAGCAAGAACTGATGTGGCCAGGTCCTCAATGGGGAGGAACAGCTGATGTGTGCTTACAAACAAAACAGGTTTTCTTTTGGATTTTGGGGGGGTTTTGGTTTTGTGATTTTTTTTTTGTGTGTTTTGTTTCCTTGATAACAGATGTCACTGGCTTGTCTGTGTTTAATAAGGAATGGTGGAAATGGCTATGTTTTTAGTTATTGATGAAGACTATTACTTCAATGGAAGATAAATTACTGGGTAATGTTTAGAAGTCTATGTCCTTCAATTGGTATTGTGTTGACTGACTGTGCCTTTTTTTTGAGCCGGGTGCTTTTTCTCCCTGTCCAAAGTCTTGTATGTTACAGACATTACAATTACTTTGTGTAATGTCAGTTTATTTGATTAAGGCTATGTAGGTAGGTGCACTATGATGTCTTGTAGGTGAGTAAACTTGTCCATTTCTGCACGTATACTCTTATAAGTACTGAAGATAAGAAAGAGTTAATATGGAAGGTGAAGGTCTTGAAAGTAGAGCAACTGTCTACTGATACACTGAGCTTTGGTGTAGAAAACAGTTGATCTCTGCTCCTGCTCTGTTTTGTTCAGGATTTGGAAGAGGTTTATGGTTTTTTCCAAAGGAAGCAGCAGAGCAGGGTAGTATGTAGAGCTGAGCTGTTTACAGCTGGAAAAGGTGTGGCTAGAGTGAACTGGCCTGGGTCGCCTTGAACCTTGATTGTGAGGAGCCCTGAAACTGCACTAACTTCGTCTTTCTGGAACTCTGGAATACCATTCTCTAGGGCATTTTGCCCATGCCTGATAGGTTATTTTTTTTTTTTTTTTAGGATTGAGAGAGCTATGTGCCTTCCAAGAGACCTGTTTCTTTCAAGAGAGCATTCTCCATTTCTAGTAATAATAGGTGTAATTATTTTTAGCTGGCTTTCGCCAGCCAGAAAGGGAACAGATTTATAAAATAGGTTGTATTTTTAAAATACAATGAAGCTTTACAGTTTAGCATATAGTATTAGCATGAAAATGAGTTGAAATCAACGTCATCAGTTCAGTGCAGAACTTACTTTCCTAGTGTATGCACCTTTTTGATTTAGCAGCGGTAGCTGATGGATTTTTATACTCAACACAGCTACTCTGATGTTGAGGGTGTAATTTGAGTAGCCGGGTGACTGCAAAATAATTATCGCCTTGCTGCAATTCTGAAGTATTGATATTGAAAGGATAGAAAGCTTTTTTTGTTTGTTTTACTGCAGTGATACAATTCTCAAAGGTTTATTTCCGTGGCTGAAAGAGGTAGACAGACCTTTTTGAATCACTGGGCTTTCATTATTCTGTGTGTGTTCTTGTTCGCTGCTGAACTTTGACAAATTCATAGTGATCATTTTAATGGATGACAAGAGATCTTGGGGTAAAAGTAATGGATGTTAAGATGATTGTCCTGTTGCATTAGTTCATTCTGTCATGAATTTGTATTAGCCTGGCTGTTTTTTTCTAAGGCATATTGAAAATTGGCAAATTAAGTCTGTAAACGCTTTGTCTTCTCAGACTTTGGCGTTACTTTATGGTGCACAAGTTTGGGATCAAGATAAAAGTCTCAAAACTAAATAGATCACATGTAACGACTATGGGAAAATGCACTGAAGGGAAAACAAGCCCAAAAATGTTTTCTGAAGAATTTGAGTTAGGCACCTTTATTGAAGCCATCTTAGCACACTGTACTGGTTTGGGCTGGGACAGGGTTAATCTGAATTTCTAGATGGTGTGTAGAAGCTGACTGCAGTATCTCAGGTGCTGAATAGGGTTAAGATTTAAGTTAGGTTTGTTTCAGCAAACCTTTCTCTTACCATCAATAGTCTGAAATACCACTAAAGCTCAAAGAATATTGATGCTGGATTACTATCACCATATTTTCCTAATAATCAGGGTCAAACTTTTTTGTTGTTTCAATGAAAAAATGACTGCTGAAAACATATGTTTAAGACTTTTCTGAAGCAGCTGACAGTGGAATATAGAATCCATCTCCTTTGGGATACTTGGAGTTTAAATTAGTACCAGATATAAACTGTGTGATAGGTGTTTATTATTAATAATCTGAGAAATACACATCTCCACTGACAAAATCATTTTCCATGGGGTGGGGGACAGATGGTTGGATGACTTTTTATAATAATATACACATTTCAGGAATGAAGTGGTGCAGGGTAGATTTGTTAATTCATCTATTAGGAGATATACATACCTTTTCTGGAGTCAGTCAGGAGAAATGCAATTGAGGAAACGATTAGAGAAGAATATGTAAGAGGCTTGTCTAAGAAGATGCTCCTGATCCTAAAGGAAAAAGTAAATGTAAAAGGGTTTAATTGATGGCTTAAGTCTAACATACAAGCTTTTAGCTTCATGCTGTTGAATTATATAGCATCTGTTCTGTTTCCTTTTCTACTTGACAATTTTATCAGTTGCCTTTGCTTGTGCTGATTGTTGCTAAAGCAGTGACCAAAGGTCAGCAAACAGATTTAGTACAAGTACAAGGTGAGCTACAAAGTTATGAAATCTCTTTAATCCCTTTCGAATTTAGAGGTCAACAAGACAAGAAACCAAGCAACTGCGAATGTTTCACTTCTTAGCTTGCACAAATAAGGCAGAGTGTATTAACTGGTCCTTTTTAACTTGTTGGTCTAAGTGTTAAGTCTCCATCTCTAATTTCTGAGGGTTGGCTTCTCTCCAATTTGTTATTACAGGTGGTTCCACATATCAGTGTATTTCCAGTGCCTCATCCTGTATCTTGCCCTGTCTGATGAGGAGCAAGATGCATTGATAACAGCTGTTGTCTGCATTAACTGACCTAATCAGCTGGTGCTACCTCTTTATTTTTTCCATTTTAGGCTGCAGCATGGCTTTGGTTTTATTCAATGCCCTTTATGCATTTTACATTTTTAGCAACAAAACCTGTATGGCAGATAGTCTCTTTTTTTCTCTGTTGTTAGGAAGTTGAGGATTTTGTGTGTTCTGAGGCTGTAAATAAAAGCAATGGTGTTCCTATGCTATCCTCTGGGTGCAGTGTGTATCCTGTACTCTCACAAAGACTAGGCTGCTAGTGGTAGCTAGTGTCAAGTAATTTTTGACAAACTTGGTCCAACAGAACTCATCCTCCAGGAAAAGGTTATTCCTGGTCAGGAGAGGTGAATGCCAGAAAAATCTCATTTTTAGTAAAGATTGTTCTTTCATTCAAGCCTAAGGTTCCAAATGTCTTTACAGGGCTCCTAATCATGTTGCAAAACGCTGCTGTAAGCTCCACTGTCTTTGGTGTGACCTGGCTTGTCCCATTCCAGTGTTTTGGGCCCAGCTTAGGGTAAACATGAATATTTTGAGAATAGCTGGGAAATGAGATAAAGCAGAAGTCAAGTCCTTATCAACATGAACAAACAGAGGTAAATAGGGAGGGAAGAAGGGACTATAAAATATTTGTGCTGTAATTAAAGTTGCCTCAGGAGTAAGGGTTCTTCAAATATTTCTCAACTAATTAGGGTGAAGGCTATGAGAGAAGGGAGGAGGGAGAATTAAAAAACAAAATTACTTTGCCGTGGCTCTGCTTCTGCAAGTGGTTTATGAGGGGTTTTTCCTATTTGTTATTGTACTGGTAACTGGAGGTTTGAAAGGCTGCCCTTTGGAGATCTGGTACGCTGAAGATTGCTGCATTTGGCTTATGAGGAGGCAGCTATTTTCTAAATCTTAATCTCATTATATTAACTGTTTCTTATGTGGTTTTCTTTTGTTAGCTGTTTTTTAGTGTCTTGTGTAAGCCCTCTTCAATTGGTACTGTGGGTAAGGGAAATGAAGTATTTCCATTGTCAAGTGCAAGTGTTTTGTCCCTTGGATATTGTTGCCTTGGATTCTTTGTAATGGTCTAATATCCTGACCTTTTTTGGTTTAGTTAGGAGTATACGTGGTATTTCTTTCAGCAGTTTAAAGTCACTACTGCTGGCAGCTACCTCCAAGTTAGAATTGGGTTTTGGTAAAGCATAGCAGGATAAACGTTGCTAGTTAAGTGCAGGTAGTTCAGGCGTGAGGTGTGAAAGGGATGGCTTGCTGCCTGTTATTATTGCAGAACACAGAGTTCGGTTTGCAAAGCTAGATTGAGGAAAAGGAGGTAAACAAAATCAGAGGCCTTCTTCCAACAATAAAGTAGCTGTTTAAGAAATGGAGAATAAATTTGGTGTGCGTTTTCAGTGTTCTTTATTACCAATTTTGCTTGCAATAGACTACTGTCTTCTGTACTTTTTGAAATGGATTTGTGCTAAGATGGGTATCTCAAACCAATACAGCTGGTAGAAGGCTGAAGCACTGAAGTGTCCATGTTTTCCTCACACCCTCAGTGATAATTTTTGTTTGTTTGTTTCACAAATCTTCTTCTGAGTTTTCTGTGTAACTTACAGTTGAATTACTTATTTTAAAGTGTTCTTTTTACTTTTTATTTTCCTAGGTCAACTGTACAAGCTAGAAGGGCTGAAAACCATTGCTGTCACAACCAATGGGATCAACTTAGCCAGATTGCTGCCCCGACTGAAGGAGGCAGGACTGAATGCCATTAACATTAGCCTGGATACTTTGGTCCCAGCTAAATTTGAGTTCATTGTCCGGAGGAAAGGTACAGGCTTGTCTTCTGAGGCAACTGTGTTAATGCTTGCAGTAATGTTGTGAGCTGTTTGGTCTTTCAGACTCAGTTATTTTGGGAGGGGAGTGAATTGCTATCCTTCTGAGGCTAGGAAAAGTAGTCTATACTAGCTTATTTGATAGCGACTCTTTTTTTCCTTCTTTCTACAACCCCTAGGCAGGTAGAGCCCTTTAGTTGGAGCTGGTGGACTAGAAGATGCTCAACTCAGCACAGTCAGTGGGACTGTGGCTATAGCTCCTGGCACCTCGCTGATTACTGGTTAGTCATGGATATCAAGAGTAGTCTCCAGATCTTGTGTTGGTCTCTTGTGTTGCTGTTCTTTAATACTCTTCAAAAAACCTGTTCCTGCTATAGCAGTTGGGGATGCCACGAGAGCTGAACTTCTTGTCACGAATAGCGGCAATTTCTAGAAGTTATGTTTGGGGCATGCTAGCAGTGGTCTTGCTTGTGATTAGTTATGTTCCCTACCTCCACTAATTTTTAATAGGAATAAACATAAACCATACCTGAGGTCACTGAGGAGGGGTGCTAGCTCTGTAACTTCTCTCTGATGGAGCTAGTAATTCCAAACAAAGTTTCAAAAATGCTTGGATGTGCCCAGTGTTACAGATTCTTGCTTAAATGAATCGTAAAGCTCATCATGAAGTTCAACGTCATGGTTGGACTTCCTTTCAACCTAAAACTGATTTGAACTTGTAGCATTCCATTTCTGTCCAGTAATGCAACCTTAACTTTGGCAGTCTCTGAACTTCTAATTCGGACAAAACCTCCAAGTAGCCACTAGGTGGTGCAACAACATAAGATAAACGTAGGGCAAGTGATGTAGACGTCTGGGATACTGCGATAAGTAATTTCAATGTTTGAATCACTCCGCTATCAAATCCAAGTTCTGCTGACAGGTTCATAAAGGTGTCCTTGTCTACAGTCTCTCTGGGGCCACTTCTTCATGTTTCTACATCATGGTGCAGAAATATGTTCCTGTCATAAATCTGACCTAAGCATTATCTTTCCAGCGTAGGCCATTGCATTAATCAGGTTGTGTCATGGCACAGTTGCCTCCCAGAGAAGTATCTGGGTGTATCTAATCACAAGCAGGTGTTGACTGTGCTCTTTCCTTCTGCTCTCTGCATTTGAATATTACCTGGTTTGTGACATTCACTGGAAACAAGCCCTTCCTTTGCTACTGAGGGGGCAAACCTGATCCTCCAGCTTCCTGAATTATATGGCCACAGCTCTTCATATCTGATTGGATGCTATTAGGAATGTGCTGCTTATAAAGTAAACTAAAAGTTATTGGGGGATGAGAGTAATTTTTATTTATATAACTGTTCTCTTCCTTTCTTCCCCTTATAAAGAAAAAAGTCTTTTACAACAGATGGAGAAGTTGCTCAGCTGACTAGCTTAGAAAATGAACAAGGAAGTTTCTATGACTCAGTATTTTTAAGGAGGAGAGTAAAGTCTCCAAACTGTAGATAATTTTTTTTAAGTGGAGATCAGGTAAAAATAGTAATGCTGAGTTGGTTTTTTTCTTTTGTTAAGGGCTGAAATTATGTAAAAATACTTTTTTTATTGTTTTTGAGGGTTTTTTATTTAATAGGAGATTTCCAAGTATGGAATGAGCAGAGAACACAGTGCCTGCCCTACTGTGCTACCCTGTCTCCTGTGGCAGTTCCAGAGGCGACAAGATATAGCTCTATTAAGGTGAGAGGGATTCCTGGTCTTAGACTCCTACAGGCTGGTAACTTCTGTGGAAAGTAAAGGTGTCATCTAATTATGGAGCTAATCAGGAACTCAAGAAGTTTGGAATCAATTTTCTGCTCCTCTGGAAACTCATTCTAGGGTTTTAAGAAAAGGCTGGAATTTTGTATCTTTGGTGCAGGTGACCTGCATTACACCTACTTTTATTCTGAAATGGTTGTTGGGATAGAGGGAATAAGTGTGAGATGATCAGAGATTTCACTGATGTATGAAAGCACATTAGAGGACCGTAATATTTCTACTTCTCCCCATCTGCCGCATTCTGAGGGATGAACAAAAGTACTTTCTTGCAGGTAGCCAGTCTAACCTGTTTCACAGCCTGTCCCTTCTTTTTAGTTCAGTACAAGGAAAATGAGAGAATATAGTACTGTGATTGAATCATTAAACATTGGCTTGAAGCCTTTTTTCTTGTAAGGATTAAATGTTGAGAAGTGTTGTCCCACATAGGATAGTTCTGGATGTGTCTAAGGTTCTCTGTGCTTTAAAGTTGGCTAAAGTTTTGATGAAAATACTGAAAATTTTCATTGAGTGGAAGAGGAGAAGGGTTGTAATTTTGAAATGTCAAATAAAAACTTAGAGAACTTCTGTGCCTTGACAATATTTCCTGACACAATGATGCCTAGTATTCATTTCTGCTCTAATATTTTGAAATGTTTTGGATTTATTCTTTTGTTGTTCCATTCCCACACAAGGACTTTGATCTAGAAGGGATGTTTCAATAAGTATGGCAATATAAATCAACTCTTACCAGCTTTCCATAAAGAAAAACCAGAAAACAGTTAACATCAAAATATGAAATGCAGTTAGAGATATTTTATTTTTTTACTGTAACAAAATTTTTATTTTAAATAATCACCCTGCCCCCAACATCTTTTAGTGGAAACAAGCTCATAGTTGTTTTCAGAGTAGCTTAATTCTTTTTTTGTTTGTAGAGATTTTTAGTAGCTATTTAAAACCACACTCGTGGTAGCGTGGCAGGAGGTAAGAGGCAGAACTGGAAAGGGCATTGAGTTAAATGCATTTCAAGCTGTAATCCTGTTCCATACCTCTACAGCAAGCTGAGCCCAAGCATACGAGTATTCAAACATGCAGAGTTTTTGATCTGCTGCTTACTAGTGATTGCTTACTGGCCTTTTTAATTAAGATCAGTTTCACCTTTCTGCAATCCTGAAATTGCACATAAGGTTTTCTGAGCTGTGGCAGAGCTTTTTGATCCCATTTGTGGCTCTGGGTTTTGCTTACAGCAGCGAGTTCTTGTCTCTGTTCCCACATTCAGCCTGTGAACGTGCTTATTTGGAATGAAAGCTACCGCTGGTGCTGCAGACTTCCTGGGCACGGGCAGAACAAGCAGGTTGTGAAGGAGAGGGCTGACAGTTGCTTGCAAGAGTTAGTTTTCTCCTTGCTCTTCACCTCTCTTTACAGTCAGGACTAGCATTAGAACCTGCTTAGAAAATGGCTAGCATCTTCTGCTTTCCTGTGTTCATGCTTTATAATGAACCTTTACCAGCCAGAAAGCAGTTAAGTGCAAGTTTTGTGTCTCTTTTTTCTTCTTTTTTTTTTCTTTTTTCTCTGATCTTCAACATGTCCAAATTTAAGTATGCACAGAATATTATTAAGTTATTGCTTATTTCTGGTAAAGCACCTACAGATTAACGAAGGTATGATCTGTTCACTAGAGAGTCTGAGTTTTCATTAGATAAGAGAGAGAGAAAGGAGAGTGATGGACCTACACAGAAAAATACATGACTAGGAACAGCACAGGGATTGTCAGCACAAACTTCTGGAAGATAGTGCCCTTTTGCTAGCATGTGTAAAGTATTTGCTGTTGAAGACTACAGCTTTGGAAGAAAGAGCTCAATCTTTTACAGTGTTTGGTCTCTCACACCTGAGTTTAGAGCACAGAACAGGAAGAAAACTTTGTCTCTCCTGCCCTGTCGGGCACTAGGTTTTCACAAACACAGGGCTGGCAGCTTGCTGTCTCATTCTTGCTACTATCGCCTTGTTTCTCTGCCAGCTGGTGAGTGTGGCAGAGAAGGAATAGCACATCAAATCTAAAATGGGTATCTTGATGAAAGGTCTCAGCTTTGTTTAAAGTTGACAGAAGGTGTGGTTTGAATGAGATGATTAAGAGGCTTTCCTAAAGGCCTTTGGAATTCCAAAATTGCATTGTTGCCTTACTTTTCTTCCAAATTTAAGAGGTGCGTGTAGGCGTGAAGATACTTGCCCTAAATTAACTGTATCTCTGTGTCTGGGAGCAGCTGACAAGTGTAGGCCACATTAAATGGTAGGGTGAGGCCGGGCACTTCATTCCTTGAAGTCATTGCAGTTTTTGACATCTATCATTTGTTTTAAAGGGTCAAGGGCCAACTGAATCTCTTTCCTAAATTCTCTAATCCTCGCCACGTTGTGCTTACCAATTTCACATGTTTAGTCATAAAAATTATGATCCTGTAAAATGCTGCCTGTGATCTTCAAACTAATGGATAGTCAATAGCTTTAGGAAGCCAATTCCATCTGTAGCCAGGGATGAACTGGAAATCAAGGGGCTCTGCTCCCCTCCACGCGCACTTTAGAAAGATCCTAAGATCCTTTTAAAATTCACTTGGCAACATTGCTGTCTGATTCAGAACAGTGAGATTCTGCCATTTTAGCAGACACCTGTGCCATTATTATCAAATAAACATTAATTTAGTATTCTTTCTTCATTGCATCTGGAGGCAGTTCACAAATGCTTTCCACTCCCTTTAAGAAGACACAAAGCAAAGCTGACGTATGGGGAAGCGGCAAATTATGTCCTAATGATACATGGATGTCCAAAGATGCAGAAAAACATACCAGTATTCTGGACTACCCAAATACCAGTTAAAAAATGGATCTTGGTGACTTGACCACACTGACAGCCTTTGGAGGGTGTGGGGGGTGTGTGTAGAGTTGAAGTCTCTTTACTTACGGCTCTTCTTACTTGCAGCCCTGTCTACTGAATCCTCAGATTGGGTTTTATTTGTCATCTTTTTGTCTTGTACTTAATAACCTCCTTTTGCATTTTGTTTTTCAACAAGAAAAATAAATTTTTATTCTTTTTGTATATTAGGCTTTCACAAGGTAATGGAAGGAATCCACAAAGCCACTGAACTTGGCTACCGTCCTGTTAAGGTAAAGCCAGTGTTTATTTACTCTGAAACAATTCTGGTTTACCATAAATTGTGATAAAAGACACAGCTCATCTGATGAGGAATTTATTATTTCCCCCCCTCCCTGTGAATAATTTTTGGTAAAACTGAAGAAAAATTCTAGTAGATTGAAGATCACCTCAAGAGGTAATGGGGCAAATTCATATAATTCCCTTGCACAGCTGAGGGTACAGGTTCATACTACCATGTAGCCCATCGATTGCCTAGCTACAGGGTGGTCCTGCTCTGTACTTGCCTCTTCCTACCCCCTCGATTGATTTGGCACTAGTCTGACCCAGCTGTTACAAAGGAGTTAACAGGCAGAAAACTGCCCTGCAGAAAGACATTAATTTTCTCCTGGTTTATTTCCTTCAGCTGCTTACAGCAGACTCTGATGAGTGCCAGTGTGAGAGAGAGGAAAAAGGAGTCTTCCTCTGGGGGTGCAGGTAGACCAACTTAGCTGTAACATGAAACTTTACCCTAACTCAGCTGTTTGCAGTTCTGCAGCTGTGGTTCCCTTCAGTTTCACCAGATCTATTATGTCTAAGTGGTTTAGGCTATTGAGCTATGAAAAACATTTGAAATTAAACTAGGTTTTAGGCTTTTCTGAAAAATCTTAAGAATTGTGATGCACGATGCTTGGATACAAGTCTGTCTTGCTAATACGGTGTGTTTTAGAAACTGCACAGCTATATGTTGTTCTTCAGATAAAGCATAGAGGACCTGAGGCTCCAATGTAAATATTGTTCATATGAGGAATGTCCAGGAAAACTTAGTTTTAACCTCTTTTTGGAGGAAGGCAGAGCTAGTCATCCTGCACCCTACAGTTATGGAGTGTGCCGTGAATGTTTCCTGGTCTGGGGAATTTGCCTATCATCTGCCATAGAGTGCTGCAGAAGGTACTCTGCCAGTACAGTTACAGAAGCCATGCAGTGTAGGACAGGGAAGTGGAGTTGTCATTTTAGACAGTAAAAAAAGCCATACCTTAGCTGGGTAGGACAATGCTTTTGTTACCTAGCTTTTATTAGTTTTCCATTTAGCAAGGTAACTTTAACAACTTTAGTTAGGTTGGATGCAAAAACTTACAGGCAAGTTTGGCAGAAATTATATTCTATACCATTGCAGTCCTGCCAACTTCTCTCATGATCTTTTCTTTCAAAAAGATATCTTCTTTCTATCTATGCAAGATAGAAAGTCCTGCAAGGACTATGAAATCTTGTGTAAGAGGGAAGAAAGTCATATTCTCTTCACTAACATCAGGTGTCTGCTTTTTCTGCAGGTGAACTGTGTGGTGATGCGAGGCTTCAATGAGGATGAACTGCTGGGCTTTGTGGATTTCACAAAGGATCTGCCCCTTGATGTGCGGTTCATAGAATACATGCCCTTTGATGGTAAGCAGTCCTGCTTTGAGATTCCTCGTGGCATGGAGCGTGCCTTGGATGTAGGTGAATCTGGTTGGTGGTTATTAACCCCGTGGGCTTGTCTGTGGAAGTTTTGGTGAGCTCTTTTGGGGAATTAAGAATTGTCTTAAGTTTTATGTTGTATCATTTACAGCTTATCTGTCTTCCCTGGACAAACTGGAGCAGGATTAATAGCAGGATTAGATGGGGCTGGGACACCTACAGGGAAAACTGAGATTTGTGGAGAATGTAAAGGTGGTTCTCTGCTAACTAAAAAAGTAAAATCCACAGTCTAAAGTTATGATGGTTTTGTTAATTCTAGGCAACAAATGGAACTTCAAGAAGATGGTGAGCTACAAAGAAATGCTTGATACAATTAAACAGCGATGGCCTGAATTGGAGAAATTGCCCTGTGAAACTTCCAGCACAGCCAAGGTAGGTAGGGTTAGGCAAAGAACATGTGAAATGTGCCCCCATTGTTTCCCTGTCCTAAATCCTCACATTCTCCCAAGTTCAGCACTTATATTTGACAAGCAAAGTAGAAAATAGTGTAGTAACTCTGGGATTTTTGGTCAAGCTGCCTGCATGTGGTTTGACTCTTATCAAGCACTGGTCATTGTCTTTACCTTTAGAAATACAATGTGTTTATTAGATGCCTTGATCAGATATGAAGAATGGCAGGCTTGTATCCTGTATTTACAGCTTTTCATCCTTTTGTCAGTCTATGACTGCTCATTAACAAGCCTGATGAAACAGTCTTTCAATGAAATAACAGTATTGCTTTAGAGTGCAGTGTCACATAGGGGATTTCTAGCCTACATGAATCTACAGCTCATGGCTGCCTGAGTAAGAACATGCCTACTGGCATCACCTGTCAGTTGATAACTTCAAGAGCAAACATTTAACAAGTTTGTGAATTTCCAGGAACAGGGCAGAATAGACTGGAACCCCTGGCAAAGCTGATTTTGCTTTATTTCTCTCGTGTGACCTTAGCACTGAACAAAATCTGTGTTAAAATGTCGTCTTGTTTTTGGGCAAGTGGAGCTTTTAAAATGAGGAGTCTATATTTGACTTTTTTTTTTCCCCCTCTGCAATTCTTTAGAGTTATAAGGTGCCACATTTCCAGGGACAAATCAGCTTTATCACCTCCATGTCGGAGCACTTCTGCGGATCCTGCAATCGGCTGAGGATAACAGCAGATGGGAACCTAAAGGTTGGCAGTGAAACATGATTCTCTTTGCTTTCATGCAGCGAAAGCAGTGTTGAAATTCTTCTCTTAAAAGTAGCCAGGATGTAAAGTAGGATAGAAAGACGCATAATTATTAGCAGCTAATTCCTGTTTATCTATCCTGTATGTATTCTTGTTCAAGCTTATTGGGCTGTTAGGGAGATGTTAGATCACCTTTTTTTGGTTTCTCTGTTTTGCTAACATAGTTAACTTCAGTTGTAAAACATGGTTGCAAGGCAAGTAAATATAAATATTTATTTTAATCTTTGATTCAAAATCATCTTAAACATGTGACAAGCAGACAATTTCCCATTAAAAAGGGATCCAAGCAGCTGTGAGGGCTTGGCTTCTGTGTTCCACAAGGATCCCGTCTTGTTTCACCAAACATCTTCTTGCAACTCTTCTCCTTCAAGAGCAGCCTGTACATTTGCTCAACGGCTGTAGAAAAGGGAGGGATAACCATTTCCTGCCACGTTGAAACTGGCAGTTTCTGGGGGAAAATTAAAGTTTTCAATTAAGAATTGGCACTTACGCATTGTCACCTGATATTGACAACAGCTGTGCTGCTGTCTAATATGTCAGATGACCGAGGCAGCCTGAAGGCCCAATGAGCTTAGGTTACATAAACATCCCAGGCTGTCTCTATGTGTACATGAAGAGAGATAAAGAAAACAATCTCCATAAACATTGTCTTTCTTCAATAGGATAGGCCTCTTGAAAACTCTTTACTCTGAGGTTAGTACAAAATACTCGTAAAAGCCATTTAGTATCATAGAACCGTTTAGACTGGCAAAGGCCTTTAAGATCATCAAGTCCAACCATTAACCCAGCACTGCCAAGTCCACCACTAAACCATGTCCCTAAGCACCACATCTCCGCATCTTTTAAATACCTCCAGGGGTGGTGACTCAACCACTTCCCTGGGCAGCCTGTTCCAGTGCTTGACAACCCTTTTAGTGAAGAAATGTTTCCTAATATCCAATCTAAACCTCCCCTCATGCAACTTAAGGCTGTTTCCTTTTGTCCTATCGTTTCTTCAGAGACGAGACAGACACCCACCTTCAGGTAGCTGCAGAGAGTGATAAGGGCTCCTCTGAGCCTCCTCTTCTCCAGGCTAAACAACCCCAGTTCCCTCAGCTGCTCCTTATAAGACCTGTGCTCTAGACCCTTCAACTGCTTCGTTGCTGTATTATTATTTTATTATTTCTTACTTCTCCTTTTTTGTTTTCTTGGGTTGGCTGCAGGTGTGCCTTTTCGGGAATTCAGAAGTGTCCTTGAGAGATCACCTACGGTCAGGTGCCTCAGAGGAAGAGCTGGTTCAAATCATTGGAGCAGCAGTGGGCAGAAAAAAGAAACAGCATGCTGGTATGTTTGTTGTACCTGAGAAATAACAGCAGTGACTATGGAAAAAAAAAAAAAGTCCTGGTACTGCTGTGGGATGCATTGACTTGCAAGGAAAAAGAAAGAAGGAAAAGCTTCTTGAATGAAGCTGCATTAACTAAGGAAAGACTTTTCCCACCTGATAAGAGTATTGTCTGGTAAAAAGCTGGTAACATACCAGTCCTGTAGTTACTCCAAAATCTGAATGTCAGGTTTAAGTCTTCTAGCCTTCAGATTGTCTAAAAGTCTTTCTGACTGACTTTTGTCTTCAGAGATGCAAATACCACTGTTCACGATAACAACAGCAAAGTGTAAAGCTAAGCAAAAATCGATGGAGTTACACTGGATCCCTTTTTTCTTAAAATTAGTTTGCTGTAAAAGTACTCAAGCTAAATTGAGCTGTCAGTCCAAGTACTGCATTAACACATTTCTAGAAGTGACAAATCTCTTTTTAAGTATGCAGAAATTTGTAGCCGCTCATCTAGTGCTCTGCATAAGGTCATGACACAAGGTCCATGATGACGCAGTCGCATCCTCAGGCTTGTATTAGTCTTTTCTGACTTTATCTGAACCTAACTATATTTTTGTAATCTGGCTGCAGCTGGGAATGGTGACCCCTTGTACATGAACTGTCTTTATGATCATGGAATAGTCCTCCTTACATTTGGCCCTTTTGTTCTCTTGCAGATTCTGCCAGATTACAAACAATTGGTTTTGCCCTTTTTTCATGATGTGTAAAACAAATTTAAAGGAAGCGTTTAAATCTGAGCATAGACTAACTTGCAAAGTACATTGGTCTGCCCCAGATAAAACAGTGCCTTGTAAACAAAAGGGAAGGGGTGGAGGGATTGGTTTCTTATCTTTTAGACCATTCATTTCTGATTTGGGAGAGCTGGGAGGAGGGAGAAGAGTAGGTTTTTCCCTTCTAATAAAGGCATTTTGCCATCAGCAGCATTTACCTGACATTGTCTGTCTGTCTTCCAATTTGTGTTAATCCCAGTATTGTTCCTGGGGCCTTCTGTGAGTTGGACCTCTCTGAACTGGAATGCTGCTAACAGCTTATCCATAGAACTAGTATAGTTAAACGCTATTGTTAAGAAACAAGATAGTCCCAAATTGTTTAAATCCTGTAGCAGGTAGACTGTAATTCAGATTACAGAAAGCTTTCTGGGAAAGGGTTCTACAGTGTGATGGACCCACAGCAGCTGGCTGCTTGGAGACTGCGGCAGCTATGGTTTTAAATAATACCAAGCTTGATTTCCTCTCCTCCAGCTCCCTCGGTCTTTATTGAACTTTGGTTTTCCTAGTATGGAGGTTGCACTGTGAAGACCAGAAAACTAAATATATAAACCAGATGCATGACTTAAAACCTAAAAAGCTAGGATTTTTATGTGTTCCTTATTTTATTTCTAGGCATGTTTAATATTTCCCAGATGAAAAACCGGCCAATGATCCTGATTGGTGGGTGACAAATCAGTACGTAATAAACATACAATGGTTTTGTTTGGGTTTTTTTGTCTTTGGGGGAGCAGAGTGGATTGGGCTTTTAAGTCTAACTTGTGTTTGGTTCTGGCTTAGGTTTAGTCAAAGAAATGGGTTTCTTAAAAGGCAGTTGTGGTTAACATGCAGAAGTGGAAGAGCAGGAAAGGTTTATATCCGTACCAAGCCTTATCCAGTCTTCTGATTCAGAGCACTGGTTTTACTTTCTCTAATTTTGAAAGTTCATCACACTTTCCAAAGGGATCACTAGCTTTCCTGCCTTATTTCCTATCATCTGCTTCCTTTGTACTTAAGGAGAATAATATAGTAACTTACAAGGCAGTTTGGAAAAGTTTTATAGAATTCACTACGTTGCCATTTAAATATAAAGGATGCAGGATGGACTGTTGTTATCCCTGGATTAAGTAGTTCAGCTTTGCTTATGATATATAGAGCCAGTAACCTGACAGAAATGCAAGCTTTCCCACCTCACTACTACTTCACTTCAGAATCTGAAACTAGGGGCTTCATTCTTTTGAAATGTCCTCTTACTGCTGCAAAGTCTCAGAATATAACCATGAAAACTGGAATGTCTGGTATCTGGTCAGTCTCGTGGACCAAAAACCTTGTTGTGTCTTTTGAAGATGGTTGCTAACTCTCCCTTCTGCTTGAAAGCAATGTGGCACTGCTGGGGTTCTCTTACTGATTTTTCACTTCTCCTTCAGTATGGTTTTACCTCCTCCATGCCTATGATTATCTTCCCAAATAACTGCTCTTTTTATAAACCAAAACCCTAGTGCTTGTACTTCTATTGCCTTTATTGGGAAATAGGATCTTCAGCGGTCTTTTAACATAGTTGCTGTTTTCACTGGAATATTTTTCATGTGATGCCCCCCCTTAAAGGGCTGTCATTTTCCATGTTGAGTTTTAAAGTGAACAGATTCAATGGTGCAAGATTGTCTCTCTCAGTTTGCTTTTGTCACTGCTGCAGTGTGTTTCAGGAAAAGGGGAAAGAGGAACCTTCATTTAAAGTGCCTATTGACTTGCTGCAAGAGGAAAACTTTTCTTTTTTTTTTTTTAAAGATGAAAAATACTCTATTAAACTCAACAGCTTGCTGGGACCTACATAGTTTTTCAAGATGCCTTTGAAAGAATCCCTACAAGCCAAAGTTAGCATTCATAGCAATGTTTGGATGTCTACAGATCAGCTTTACCCAATTTCCTTTTGAAAAGTGCTTTAACATTGTCTGACATGAATACAGTAAAAGCAGCGGCTTGTTCAGGTCCTCCCCCAACTGCTCCATGTCCCTTTCAGACTAACTGCTGGCAGTCACCGCATCAGTGGAGAGACTGGAGATGAGCGGAGAGTAGCCCACTGTGACACATGGGGAATCATTAGGCGATTTCCTAATTGTGTTTTGAATTACTTACAAACTTCAAATAATGCTGGCGTGCAAGCAGTCAGTAGGGGGGGGTGTGTGTGTGTATGGAATTGATTTAATGAAACTTAATGAATGCTGTGGAAATCACTAATTGGTTTTGCTAGTCCCAGTAAGCCAAACCTGGCTTTTTCCCTGCACTGCTGTTGTCTCCTCCTTTGCTATACGGTTTGTATCCTATTTCCCTTAATCAAAATATTCCTTTTGGCAGGGTGTTCCCCTCCTGAGTTCACTTCATTTATGGGAATTTCCTCCTTAATTTAAGTATCTCCTGCCTTCTTTCCCCCCTCCAAGATTTTGCTAGTTGGAAGCTAACACAATTAAAGTTCAGGTGCAGTAACAGAATGTAAGGAGATGCACTTTGTCAGATGGTTTCAGTTCTGTTATATGTAGTGCTGTAGAACATTTTTTTTTTTTGTAGGTGTATGAGCAATTTGAGTGAAGATAGAGATGACTAGGTACAACTTGAAGCAAATGTAGGTTGTTAGGGAGAGCAAAGGTGCTTTGCATGCACTACTATTTGTGGCTGTCATTCTACTTGAGCAAATGGTACTTCTCTGCTCTACTCCCATCCATGTGTGTTTACCCTGCGGAAGTAAGTACCTGTCTGCCTTTGCAGTCCGGCTTCTCCCGAAGACAAGACACTTTGCCAGGGTTTAGCTTCAGCTTTAAAGCTAGTCAAGGAATCTGGAAGAACAGCGTACTTTGAGTTCCTTAGATTTTTAAAAAGGAATATTCAGGTTAGGCCCCATTGTATAAAGAGAGAGGGAAAGAAGGAATAAGCACAGCTTTCTGTGCTCTTCTATAACAGAGTAATGCTGCACTCAAAATATTTATGTCCATTTAATCCCATTCCTCTGAGGGGAAACATATTACCACTAAACTTGGAGGAATCTTAATTTTATTGGATAGGCCATCAGCTGTAGATCAAAAAGGGCCTTTGAATTCAGATTATTGCAGTGATTTAAAAAAAATAATTCATGAAATCTATGGTTGATTTCAGCTTTAGTGATGGGCACTTTCAGATCAATGTTTGGAGCGTAGTCTGGATGAAAAAGGTGCTAAGTGCATCAAGGAAGAGATTGGTTTGTCCACACTGTGTCTGTTATTGTCATGTGGACAGTTCAAGGTAACAGCTGTAGGTCTGGACAGCAGAGGTAGCTCAGCAAGGTGCAGAGGGGTCAGGAAGCTGCTTTGATTCACCTGTGGGCAGTCTGAAAACTGCCCATAAGTAAGGGAGGCCCTGAATATCAGAGCTACCAAAGGAGGTTATTGAGCAAAACCTAATTCCAAGTTTCTCAGAGAAGAGAGCAGGAGTTCCAGCAAAAGAAAGAGAAACATGCTTATCAATGAGGCTATTAAACTAGGGCTTAGCCACTTACCTCTATACTGCTTTCTCTCTACTTACAAAACACATCACTCCTTTTATGTGAAAAAGACTCCTTCTGTCTTGACACTTGGCATTTAGCCCTCTGCAAATGCCAAAACCAAGGGATTAAATGGTGAAAAGGGGCAAGAGGGCTTACTACCTCTCTGCCAGCTGGGAGCTCTGCCAGCTCGACTTGGAACGTACTTCTGAGTAGATTTAAAAATCTGTCAGTGAGGGGATCATGGATTTTCCAGTGCTTAAACTTCAGCTGTCATTAACGTGGTAAGAGCTGGCAGTAGTAAGTGAGGTTCCCATCACAGAGCCATTCTCTGAGCTTGTAGACAGTGCAGTTGCAGATGCAGTGCTTCTGCTCCCTGCTGTCTTCGCTCTTCCCTGAAGAAAGGGATGAAAGCAGGAAGTACAGCCACCTGTTCTGGGAGGAAGGTGTTTGGAAAGGCTTTTGAAAGGCTGGTGCTGGTACAACCTCAAATGGATGCTGAGATGCTGTGACTTCAGAACTGATGTTCCTAAAAACTTTCTTGGCTGCTGTTTCTCATTAAGTGTTGATACTTTTTGAAAGCAAGTTGTTTTTTTCTTGTCAGGGACCTTGAAATAAGTGCTTTGAGTCTTGGGGTTTGTAATAGCAAACCAGTAAATGCAGGGAACTGATGAGGGAGAAGAGAAGGAGCTTGAGGAGAAAAGTGGATGTTTGCAGGCTTACTGAGGTTTTTGCAATACAGAAAAATCCCAAGCTGTGCTCTGACAGGGATCTCAGCTACTGCAGACTTAGCTTAACTTTCCAGTTAGTAAGATGTATTCTCATGTTACTTTTATTTTTTTTTTCCCCAGAGCCTGCATTGATGTCATTCCCACTATGCCAAGATGCCCTACAGAATCCCCCAAATTCAAAACAGTGGGGCCACACATTTAGCCATTGGCTAACTTTGAGAGCAAGTTTACCCAAACAAATGGGAAAAGCACTAACAAACAATAAGCTTACAGGACAACTTTCCCTGCCAGGATCTCATCCAGAGCAACAGTGGCACATAACGACAGGAATTCTACAAACCCAGCTCAGAGGCTGCTGTGTCTTCCAGAAGCACCCAAGCTCCACATCTGACACAAAGTGCCTTGAGGCTTCTCCTGTTGGCCAACTTTCTGTGGCCTGTCAGTCCGAAGAGGCAAGTCCAGAATCTGAATTCTGTACCAGGGATTCAGGATCTCACACCAAGGTACCTTGTGCCTCTGACAACTTGACTCACACCGATGAGGAAGGACGGGCCACAATGGTTAATGTTGGAGGGAAGCCAGATTCGAGAAGAAGTGCTGTTGCTGCTGCTGTGGTCCGCCTGGGTGAGAAGGCATTTGGGATGGTGAGGCAGAACCAGGTGAAGAAAGGGGATGTGCTGGCAGTAGCCCAGATTGCAGGAATTCAGGGAGCCAAGCTAACCAGCCAGTTGATCCCGTTGTGTCACAACATCCCCCTCAACCATGTTGAGGTGTCTCTGAGCCTGGATGAGACCAGATATGCAGTGGTGATTCGCAGTTCCTGTCAGACCTGGGGGAGGACAGGCGTGGAGATGGAAGCTCTAACAGCTGCCAGCCTGGCTGCCCTGACTGTGTATGACATGTGCAAAGCAGTTACTCATGACATTGTGATCGAAGAGGTGAAGTTGCTTAGTAAGACAGGTGGGCAGAGGGGAGACTTCTCAAGGGTCTAGATCATATCCAGACCCCGCCAGCCCTTTAGGTGACCACTGCTCATGTTCAGCCTCTTCTAGAATGACTTTTGCTCAGCTGGTAGGCTTGGAGATCTCAGCAGGTGTACCATACAACTCTATACCCCCAGCTTTGCCTTACCACATCAACTTACTGCTGGGTGAACAGTGGAGCCACTTATCCCTGTTGATAACCATGTGTGTTTTTTAGAGGACAGCCTTCTCCACTCTGTCAATACCTTTATTTCAGTGTCCTCACCTTAAGAGATGATTTTTTTTTTCTTCTTGCTGTGAAATAGCTGCTGTCATCACACCATGCAACTGTGAGCTCTGGAAATGAAGCAAGTGCTGAAAGTGCTGTTATTTGGCAACTGTTTTTAACTCAAGGATTAAGATTTCAGAATTGTGCCTGTCCATCTGTCCCCCTGACCTCCTTAGTTGGATTTAGAAGGTGACAGTGAGATCACCACAGTTTGGGAACCTTACCATACAGCAGAGATTATAACTGGAACAGCCAAGTCAGAGGGGCAGCTCCCACCCCTTTGCATTGCCACTGCTTCCCTTGCTTGCAAGTGGGAAATAGTCACGCATCAGCTTCAAAAGAAAAAAAATGGCAACTGCCCCATTCTCTGCCTTGAGTGCTCTGTAAAGCATTATGTAGAAACAGAGGAATTCGGGGTTTGGAAGAATTATTTTGCTGATCTGAAAGATACCTTTTACAGCGTTAGAAGCATGTTCCAGCATTTTGACCTTAGCACTCAAATAGGTTGAGGCCTTGTGTCTGCATGCTTAAAAGCTCAATTATGGCATGCACAGAGGTAAGTGTCAGCTCTCCCTGACCATAGAAATAGATGTGACACCAAGCCCCAGAAGACTCTCAAGTTTTTAATCCTACAGTGCAGCTCCCTGTAACCAGCAACCTGCATACTCCTGACACATAAAACAAATGTTAAGGCTAGTAGCCATTTGGAAGAGTGAGGTAGTTGCTGTTACCTCAGCCATAGGGTTTTCCTGTGTGTTTCTCTAATTTGCTTTCATGAAGTCTTCTGGTCTCACAGCACTTAAGTGTCTCCATAAACTTACCAGTGGCCACTGTCATGTAGCATTAAATAGCTCTGATAATTGACTATCCTAGATAAGAAATTACTCAACCTTGTTGCTAATACTGATGGATCCTTTTCTAATGTTAATTTAAATGCTGTAAACAGGGTGTTTTCAACTTTGGTTTACTTGTTTTCTAGTGCTTACGCCTAATGTGAAGTTGCATATGATTCAGGGTGCTCCCTTTCCATACGCACAGAGAACCGAAGACAGCTCTAGTAACATCAAAGAGGCTACTGAAAAAGCATTTTAAACTTTACAAGTAGCTACATCTCATGAAATAAGGTTAAATTACTGTAAGCATCAGTAAAGCACACACCACACTGTCACGCACATCCTGCTTATTTAAAGTAAGCACAGGTCTGAGATGAGGAAGCAATAGGTTTTACTACACATCCTTTATGAGTCTTATACACTAGCTACCACAGCAGGCACTTTTTCCATTGCAGGTGAATTAATTTGATTCTTTATTCATTGTCACTGAGAGAAAGGCACATCCAGTGACACACATAGCAGCTACAGCTGAAAGTGGAAGGAGTCTGGAAAGCTTGGTGCCCAAACTCCATAAACATCTGTACACCTACATTGAGTGTTAATAGTCCCCATTCCCTTGATATCATTGATCTAACTTAATAGCAGGGGCACTCCCACTCCTTCCTAGGAGCGTACCCAGCACTACCCTACTGAGCACCAACAATCCCCTGACCCTGCAAAGAGACCGTGTTCATCTGTGGAGCTGCTGTGCCCATAGCGCAAAAGTTTCCCTTGCTCTGTGTGGAAACAGGTTGACAGGAAAAGGAAGCTCGTGTGGCACCCCTGCTAAGTTAACCGATTTACACAAGCACTTAACTGCCCCCACTATGCACAACATACCCTGCCCTCCTGGCCTTCACCCAAGGCTTTAGCTAGTTTTTAAAACTAAAAGGAAACTAGATATACTCAGCAGTAATAAAACAATGCTTTGGGGCATATGATTCTTTGGCTTCTGAGAAGTTTGCCATCATGCTGTAAAGCTCACACAAAGGATTCAAGACCATACAAGGGACTACAAGAGCACGTGCACAACTGCCACGCACATCTGACTACTTGCGCACATTTCACTACTTTCTTGGGTTGAGAGTGGCTGGAAGCTTTGGGCAAGCAGACTTTGGTGCCATTTTATGCTCATGTTACATTATCCAGTCTTGAAACTATGCACATTTATAGATAATGAACCAAGCATGAGTCAACAGAACATTTTGCAAGAGAAATGAGCTGATAGCACTGTATGTTTCAGTGGTGCTGGGTGGGCAATGATATAATATATGCTGATGAAGTGACTGCTTTTTGGAGGCTTGCTTTTTTTTTGTCCACTGCAATTTTAATAAATACTAGTTGTAACCCAGTATGTTTCACATTACTTCAAATACCCGTTTTATTAATTCAAAGGAACACCTATGTTTTAATCCATGAGGTTCTATGAATAGTTAACACAGGACAAGCAACAAGACAGACTTCATAAGTCGCAATGATTAGTCAGCAATTAGCAAGGGATCAGTCACAATAAATAATAGATTCTTTATAGTAAGAAGTTATTTTTTTTGTTGAGTGAAACTCATCTGGCTGTTCTTAAACTGAGTAATCCTGTAGGCTTAGCATCATCATTTATCATCTCTCATTGTTATCCCAGCTTCTCCCACATGCCTGTTCCAAGTCAGAGGCTGTGTGTAACAGCGCTGCTTTGCGTGGCAGAGTAACATAAGGAACTGGTGCCTCCAGAGCTCTGCCGCTTAGGCTGAGTGACTGTGCATTGAAACTGGGTCCGGGGAAGTGCCTGTATAGAAGCCCATCCCTCCCAAATCATGAAAAAAGTCTAAGGGAAGTTCCCCTTCGGATCCACCTGAGCTTCCAGGAAAGCTCTCGCCTCTTTTGTTATGGAGAAGGCCTGTTCCTACCTGAGGAAGTATAGCTGGTTGAGCTGTTCACTGTAATCTGCCACCCCACAGGAAGCCAAGGGCCCCGTGCCGGGGCAGAGACAGGAGCTGTACTGCCAGAGGCTCTCTCTGTCTCCTCTCCAGGTATGGCCTCCAAACACTGCTGGGTCCTGGGACGCAGGCACAAAGCTTTACATCCTTTTTCGACGAGTCACTTCCTAATTTGAAGCTAGGTTTTTGATTTAACCAAAAGAAACAGTGCAAAGCACAGAGTCCACCACCTCATTCTCCTGAAGGATGCCCTAGGAGCACAAGTTGCACTTCTAATGCTGCGTGTGCCCGACACGACACAAATGCAAACATTGCAGATGATGGCAGCCCTCGCAACAGAGGTGCAGTGTAGCTTTTCCCTGCTGGAAACTGTCACTTGTCCCAGCTGATGTCCCATTTGTGTGTTATTGTCTGTTCACTGCTAACCCAGCCTACTTCTTTTTGTGGCAGCTTGGCCTGTCTTTCCGTCACAGCCATGTCCTGAGGCCAGTTACCCCACGCTCAGGCTGCCCAGGAAAAAATTGGATGGGGCATACAAAGGAGAAGCCAGCAGAAATTAGTCACTAAATCTATGTCAGAGAGCAGTGCTTTCGGAAAGTGCTGGAGAAAGAGAAGTGGGGAATAGAGGGAAGATGTGACTTGAAATACTTTAGGAAGGGACCTCTTCTTCAGAATAGGAACCACTCAATACCAGACTCTAAAAGCAACAACAGCTGAGCACTAAAAAGAGGAATGAATTTTTTAGCTATTCTAAGCCACCGGTGACCTGCAGTAATTCTCCTTAAGTCGCTGGCGTTACTCAGCTTTACATGGGATTTGACTGAACAGAATCTGGCCCTTTGTCCCACCCCGTCCTTAGCCCGTCGCTAGTTTGAAGCTCCTCCTGGCTGGCTCAGCAGCAGTTCTGCAGGCATGTAACAGCTTAAAAACGGCTGTAACAGCGTGTGTGCTTTGGCCAGGACACAGGACTCCTAATTAGTTAAATGGAAACACAGTTTGCTTCTCTCCACTGACTAGAGCCTTGCTCCAAGAGAAGCTTAGCATTACAGGGAACCTAAAAACAGTCAGACGAGTCACTGGTTGCAGTGGGCTGAGTAGGCTTTCACTTTTTTTTGAAAGTTCAGGTTAAAGCCTCAACTTAGGTCTCAAGAGCCAGAGGATCCGAGGGGCACTGCAAAGCCATGAGGATGGCAGGCAAACCCCCAACACGTCTGGGATGCTCCCCGGAAAGGTGCAGGGTGGAGCAGCCGAATTCTTTTTTGCAGGCTGGGCCTGAAGGGCTTTGGGTGAGCTCAGCGCACCCTGTCGTATGAACAGGTTCTTGTTTTGGTCACAACGAGCTTATACAGCGGCAGCTGAGACACAAATCCAGCTATCTCTACTTTCCTCTGTCCCTCCACGCTGCCAGTGCTGCGTTTAGAAAGCTTTCAGTTTAGCATCTCTATTTTTGTACTTACCCTGTTTGCTCCTCTGAGGAGCGAAGGGTACTCAACATAACAGTGGTGAGCAGCCGAGTGCAAGTTTACCCGAAGGGCCAGATGCCCCGAGACGCTGCTGAGCCTTGCACTGAGCAGACCTGTGCAACAAACTGGGCATTGCTTAGCTTCAGGTTCACAGCCCGACTGCAACAGCATGGCCATGGCCATCAGGCAAGCTGCCTAGTGTCCATGGCTCTCCAAGGTGCCATCCACACAACGCTTGCTCCATGGAGCAAAGCTTCACACTTCATTATTGCTTAAGGGTTACTTCCAGGAGAACCCCAAATTAGCAGCAGTATTATAGAAACAATTGCTTCATCACTCCATCAACAGGAAGGGCAGAGAGCTTATCCTCAAATTCTGGAGACCCTGCTCAAAACCAGAAACTCTAAGGACTACTAAACTGATCCTGCATGGATTTAGTCTTAAATATAACAGAAACACTCTCTTCTATACTCAT